CGCGTAAGCCAACACAACCCTACAACATCCAGAGCCTTAAGGAACTCCGGGCGAATCTCATCCACCCCTGGGGCCCTGCCACCGAGGAGCTTTTTAACCACCTCGGTGACCTCAGCACCAGAGATAGGAGGGCCCGACCCAGAGTCCTCAGGCTCCGCTTCCTCAGTGGAAGACGTGCCGGTGGGATTGAGGAGGTCTTCAAAGTATTCCGCACACCGACCCACAACATCCCAAGTTGAGGTCAGCAGCACACCACTCCCACTATAAACAGTGTTGGTGGCGTACCGCTTTCCCCCCCTGAGACGCCGGATGGTGGACCAGAATCGTCTCGAAGCCGTGCGGAAGTCGTTCTCCATGGCCTCTCCGAACTCCTCCCATGCCCGAGTTTTTGCCTCAGCAACCACCCGAGCCGCATGTCGCTTGGACTGCCGGTACCCATCAACTGCTTCCGGGGTCCCACAGGCCAAAAAGGCCCGATAGGACTCCTTCTTCAGCCTGACAGCATCCCTCACCGACGGTGTCCACCATCGGGTTCGAGGGTTTCCGCCGCGACAGGCACCGACAACCTTGCGGCCGCAGCTCTGGTAAGCCGCCTCGACAATAGAGGCACGAAACATGTTCCACTCAGACTCAATGTCCCCCACCTCCCTCGGAACATGTTCAAAGTTCTCCCGGAGGTGGGAGTTGAAACTCCGTCTCACAGGAGACTCTGCCAGACGTTCCCAGCAAACCCTCACAATACGTTTGGGTCTGCCAGGTCTGACCGGCATCCTCCCCCACCATCGGAGCCAACTCACCACCAGGTAGTGATCAGTTGACAGCTCCGCCCCTCTCTTCACCCGAGTGTCCAAGACATGTGGCCGCAGATCAGATGAGACGATGACAAAGTCGATCATCGAACTGCGGCCTAGGGTGTCCTGGTGCCAAGAGCACATATGGACACCCTTATGCTTGAACAAGGTGTTCGTTATTGACAATCCATGACGAGCACAGAAGTCCAACAACAGAACACCACTCTGGTTCAGATCAGGAGGGCCGTTCCTCCCAACCACATCCCTCCAGGTCTCACTGTCATTGCCCACATGAGCATTGAAGTCCCCCAGCAGAACAAGGGAGTCCCCAGAAGGTGCACTTTCCAGTACCCCCTCCAAGGACTCCAGAAAGGGTGGATAATCTGAACTGCCGTTTGGTGCATAAGTACAAACGACAGTCAGAACCCGTCCCCCCACACGTAGGCGGAGGGAGGCCACCCTCTCATTCACCGGGGTGAACCCCAATACACAGGCACCAAGTTGGGGGGCAATAAGTACGCCCACGCCTGCTCGGCGCCTCTCACCAGGGGCAACTCCAGAGTGGAAGAGTGTCCAGCCCCTCTCAAGGAAACTGGTTCCAGAGCCCGAGCCATGCGTAGAGGTGAGTCTGACTATTTCTAGCCGGAACCTCTCAGCCTCACACACCAGCTCAGGCTCCTTCCCCACCAGTGAGGCGACATTCCACGTCCCAATAGCCAGCTTCTGTAGCTGAGGATCAGACTGCCAGGGTCCCCGCCCTCGGCCACCACCCATCCCACATTGCACCCGACCCCTTTGGCCCCTCCCACAGGTGGTGAGCCCATGGGAAGGAATAATCACTATGAAAAATCACATCATGTTGCTGCTTATCTTTTTCATGTTGCTGCTGATCTGTTTCAATGTTGCAGCTGATCTGTTTCAATGTTGATGTGTTCATGCGTGCTCATCTGCTTACACAGACTCGTGTTCATGTTCATGTTCGCTGATGTTCGACGTAATGTTTTTTTATGCTATTAGTGCTTAGTGTATATTTAGTTGACGTTTTTCTTAGTTCATATCTTAGTTGTTATCATTGTTTTTCTTTTACATTTTATTGTTGGATGTAACTGGGACCCTGTGTACATAATTTCGCTCCACCACATGTACCACATGAGGTGAGAATGACAATAAAGAATCTCTGACTCAAACCTTTGATTCACTGAAATATTGAACTAATATTGAATAAATACAGAAAAAATGATGACGCTCTTAAAATGGGCCAGGAAAATCTATGATTTTTTTTTTTTGCAGTAGTCGGATCCTCGACCCACCTGTCAATCAATCCAGAGGTACATCAGCAACTGACCAATCAGCGACCTCAATTGGTCCTGAGGTGAACGCCCCTTACCTGCAGAGCTGCAATTACGAACATTACGAATGCTTTGCAGTCAGAGATTTCAATAATAACAGAGTTTACATCTTTTGATTCATGTTAATTTACTGTAATAAACATTTGTAAAATACACATCTACTGTATTCAAAATTCTCTGGGGGAGGACCCCCACCCCCACTGCCCGGTCCGTGAAAATATTGTTGGACATAAAACCAGTTTGTGGCGTAAAACTGTTGAGGACCACTGCTATAAAGCGTATATTTGTCTCAATATGGGGACCCACCTCGCAGCACGTTGGGGGCTGCCGGTGACTTCAGAGGATTACTGATGACTTCCAGACAAAACAAACTGAGGGCCCCTGAATGGGAGGGCAGCCTGTTTTTGTCCGGGTCACACACACACATGAACAGCCACCCTAAGCCTTCTTCACCCCTTCAGAGACTCAGGTGTAAGTCTCTGGGCAACTTAAAAAGTGGGCGGGGCTTGCAGCAGTCCAGCTGGTAAACAGGAAGCACTCTGAACTCTTATCTTCTTCTTAAATGTTTTGATTGTTCTGCAGGTGAGCCAAGGAGGTGCTGCGACTCCTGAAGA